ACACTGAGGAAAAAAGCTTCGATAAGACCTCTAGCCAAAGAATGTTATTGATAGGGATCAGCTGAACCACCCTTGATTGGCTCGGAAAAGCGATCCTGAGCCGAGAGCCGTATTTTTTGCCTAGGTCCAGGGACAGAGGTAGGGTTGGCGGGATGGAGCCAATGTGAAGTGGACCCCTCAAAATGTTCAAAAAATATGGATTAGATGTCGACGATGCAGGGCATTTCACCGGTATCATAAATTACTTTGAACATTGTGTGTTATCAAACTTATTATGCTTACGATAGAGATATCCTTAGCCTCACCTTGGTCCTTATCACTGGGTGGCAGAGTAGCATACAATGGCTCCCTCCAACTCCAATTTCACTCTTTAGACCAAACTGTACATCCCAAAAATCAATTTTATCATTTATTTCTCAAAAAAATTCCTGGCAAGGATAAAAAATTTCCATAGCATGAAAGCGAAAGGAGACGCGATCCATAAAATGCATGTTCGTTAGAAATCAAACACCTGAATAAGGCCTTCCTCAAACTGGCAAAACCCTATATAGCTGCTCTCCGTTGTTCTGCTCAGATTGCCTCAGAGAGGGGGCATAAAGCAGCAGCAGCGACTAGTAGTCCATGACAGGTTTTTCCCAAGTCCTACCAATTTCAGGGTTACCATTTTAGAGAATAAAAATGGAATTTCGCAGTTTTTCCAGCTTCTCCTCTATTATAGCCTAGTTACCCTAGGTGAGGCGCGAAGTGCAAGGCAAGCGATCACGAGGAGCCCAAAGAAGAGGTGGAGGAGCGTCACAATGAGGACTTCAATGAAGTCAGGACCACGGCAGAAGATGCCTTGAACAGGACTAAGTGGCGAAGTCGAACAGGAACTGCGGTCCAGCGACTGTGTGGAATAATGGAAGGGGAAAAAGTATAAATAGACTAGGTGAGATGCGGTTAGAGAGCACGGAACCTGGGTGTATATGATTGCAACCAATACCTAATCATGCTTAATTTTCCTCATGAAGCCTTCACGCTCCGCTTGGTCTCTACGAAGCCGTAGTCGCTCAGTGAGGCTCACTAGTAGCAGCTGGAATACTGACAAGCGTGTTTGTTTGCTACCAAGAGCATCCCGGGCAAACGAGATCCAGCCTTGACGAAGGGGTTGTTACCGCCATCCTTAGTCGGTAGACTCCACCACTTTCTCCACTGTAATTGCAGAGATCGAAATTATACTATACTTAGGGCTAAAATAATAGTTGGGGATGTTCTGCGCAGTTGTGGGAAAGTTTAGAGCCTTCTGGATACAGCATTGTCTCCCGATTCAAGCCACCACAATTGAAACCTTCCCGACCGACCCATACTTTTTCGCACTGCGCGGTCGCTTGGAAAAAAGTCTCGGGAGGGCTCTATGGACTAAATTAGAGGCGCAGATTGCGCACATTCGAAAGTGTCACATGTATTTCATTCTTATGGGTGCTAGCGCTGCTAATGTGCGCCTTCAATATCAGAACAGTTCATCATCGACTCTCCAGAAGAAGTCTGAAAAATGTTGCATTTGAGCCTTCCTCAAGAGAAGAATCGCTAGGGTTCTCAGTCAGCTCGCTGACACAGATTTATAGTCGCTGGCAATTTCGCTGAATCTTGATTCGTCCTTCTGGGAGGCGTCATTAATAAGGATCACAATAAACAGTGTGGATGTGGATATCAAGTTAGGATCGGCCACGACACATTCGCCTGCAATAGCGGGTTGCGCCTTTAGCAAAGTTTTCGTCCTCCATCCTCGCTTGCTTTGTCAATTTGAGCAGGGAGCTAAAGGGATACACACCACAATCGCATAGTCTGATCGGATGAACCGGGCGCTGAACGATAAAACAGGATCCTACACTCGTCCGGCTGCAGCCTTGGTCCGATGTGCGTTACTGTTTGGCGCAGATCGAACGTTGCACCAGCGGAATCGAACTTGGCGTACGATGGTACGACGAGTGCGACCAGCAGAACTGCGAAGAGACAATTCTTTGTCCACCAGCTCTGCATCCGAGGTCGACAGTAGCTTGACAAGTGGCGGTAATTATTTATATTTGTTCCTCAAAGGGATACCCTTACTTCAAAAAAGGGTCCTGTTATATATGACCGGCGATGCTCAGACTTTCTTTGTCACCCAAGAAAGTCCGGCAGGGTGGTCGGCCATTCCAAAAGGAGGATGCCATCGCAAGGATAGAGAGGTGTGGAAAGAGGAGAACTTACCTATGTTGGAAAGGCAATGCGGCGGTCGCTCCAGGGGGGGGGGGGGGCGAGGCTGACACGCTAATCCGTGTTCGAAATTTGGCCCAGTGCGATGTGAGTGGGCTCCACGCAGGGTCAACCGTTACGTTGGACCGATATTGGAGCGACGTTGGACCGATGTTCACCGCTCTCCGCGCCGGCATTCACTCTCGCCACCCGCGAGCCGTCTGTGTCTCCGTGCGTACGTTCACTCTCGGCATTACTCTCGTCGTCGCGTTGGACTTTGTCCAACGGACGGTTGGACCCCTGATTCCTTCTCGCGGGCCCAATTGACGCGCTGTTGCCATATTACTCCCCTTTCAGTTGTACGTCTCGAGTCCGAGCTCAGCGGAGGAGAGCGCTCAGGTGTGAAGAGGCCACCACCGCGTGTCGGAAAAAAGGTCACTCGTTGCCTCATGTTTTTGGCATTCATTTGAAACTTTCGGCCGCAAAGTTATGCCAATGTTATTCGGAGAGTTATATGGCGAAATATTCCTTAGATGTCCCCCCATAAGCAGAATCAGGCCCAACTTCGCTGCGTTCACCGTCTCCAGAATATGACGTCATCTGTCATCACCGTCGAGCTCAAGGAGGCCTACCAGTAATCGCCCCATTCTGAAAGCTGCTACATAATTTCTTCAATCCGATAACTGGAGTGATGGCTTCTCAGGGGACAATACATCTGGAATGGCGAGATTGGCTTCTTGACCAGCGTTTCAGAGGCGTCGTAATCGTCTATGGTTTCTCGACGACCTCGTTGAGCTTGCACCGCGAACCACGTTTCCGTGGGAAAATCTTCTGATGTCATTGGTGTAGAATGCCCCGTAGGTAATTTTTTTGATAGAAAGAATGTGCTCTGATATCGCAATGTGGGCTCATTCGTGGGGTGTGCTTGGCAAAGTGTAAGTTAGATTTTGTTTGAAGGGGTGGTGCAGGTGTACGCTTATCTTTTGCCCCCCCCCCCTGTATGCTTTGTGAATGATAGCAAACTGTCGAAAGCACTTACTATGAATAGGGCTCTCTCCTAAAATCCGATCTGTGATAACTCGTGCGAGACACGGAAAGGAGAACGAGCACGGAAGAAACTCTTACAGCGAGAAATTATGGAGACGAGAGAGGTGCAGACAAAGGTGGGTTGTTAGCGAAGGCAGAACTCACAACTCTTGAGGCGCAGGCTCAATGTCTCCGCTCCGAGGTCACTTTCTGCCGCAGCGGTGGCCAATTTCGTCCACCTGGCTCCTGTACACTTTGATTTTACATTACCTGAGGTTGCCGTGGAGTGTGACTTTAGAGCCTTTGTTCTCACCTTCAGCTCACTTGGCTTGTTGCTACGAACATGTTGATCAACTTCAATATACTTTCTTTGCTGACTACGAAGGTTTCCGAAGCAAATCCTATCTGAGCACAGAAGAAGCCTAAAATCATTCACAACCATGTATAACTCAGAAACATGTAAGTGGGGTCCGGGAGTTGGTCGGGAGGGGGTGTGCATTCTGCTCGGGAAGTACGGGTGCTGGTACGGGTTCTGACAGGATCACCAGCTCTAACAACCCCGAACTTATTTGGCCTTCAAATGTGTGTATTGCAGACCGTGAAGCTCTCACACTGCGAAGTGTACGCCTTGTGTTTGGACGAGTTTTCTCGCGAAGAAAAAGTGTGTGGATCGTTAGCGGATCGGGTAATACCGACAGGCCACAGGATTCAGCGGAGTTCTTGCAAAAGAAAACTCCTGCCTGACTACGATGTGAGTATAAACTCCGCTGAAATCAAAATTCCAAAGAAATCGTCTTACTTTGCGTCTTGACAGGCTGTCGATGACGAAACAAGAAGTCTTGAAGAAACGTACAACGCCTGCGTCAAAACTCGGCTTGGGCAGAACATCACAGACGTACGTGCTCGTCAAATTGGGTTCAAAATTGGGCCCAAAATTTACTGTGCCCATGATATTTTCTGAATTCTCGTGCCTTAGGTGGAAGCCACGCAATGTGCAGCCGCAATCCCTGCCGTCCTCGCTCGAGAACGAACCTTGTCGCAGCAAACTTTACGTTCTTAAGCAACACTGCTCAAGGCTGGCCAAATGCTGTCCAGATGCACAAATGTAGGTGTGCTTAGAGGTTTTGTGGTATTTTGCCAATATCTTTTTTGCAGATGTCGCAACGAAGTTGACCGTTCGGATAGGGCTCGGTATCTTCGAAGGCGAAAAGAATCACTAGCTGTTGCCGCTACCAAGTGCCGACTTCAACGGTATAGAGAGATCTTCAAGCGTACTAACCTACTTCACCCTGAATCATTACTTACTGCATAGCTCAATCGAATTGAATATTTTCGGATAGTTTAGCTCTTTGTCTTTCACTCTGCTAAAAACCGGGTATTTGCACTCGCCTTGTTCACTCCTCTACTTGTCATAGTGTAGTGTTTGTTGCGCTTTCAGATCTAATAATAATGTGCTATGTGTAATAATGTATCGATAAATATTTTCATTTTGGTGGTATGAGTTCACAATTTAGCCTGTACACTAATGTTGAGCAGGGCAGCCTGCGACTGATGTCTGCACCTCTGAAAGCCGCGACCTCGATTCCTGCCGAAAGGTCAACCATTGAGATATTCTAGATATACATTACGGAAAAGTGGGGTTCTAATGCCAGCGTACAGCCCACGCTTACAGGCCGGCTGAAGCGACGCGCCCTCACACCAACAAGTCCAAAAGTTGCAAAAGTCAGCAACGTCAACTCTAGACGTCACCGGAAAGAGTGACCACAGCAAGCCTCCGCAAGTTTGGTGGTACTGTATTCGCGGAGTGCTTGCCGAGAAGAAAACGGGCCTCGGCTAAAAGAAGCGAATGTTTTGGAATCGGAACTCCAACGCGGTGATCGCTTAAATCGGTGAAAATCCCGATCGCTTGCTGATACCATGACGAGCAGGCTCGTCCCAGTCCTATGCCGTCACGAGATGGTATGGAAAGGTGATGGGACCAGAAAAATTCAAGAGTAAGTAAAAAATGATAATTACCGTACTTTCAATTTTGGGCGGCTATACAATTTTATGTGTACACCAAGAATTTTGCGTAAGTTAGTTCGATTTCTTGTCAAACTCTACTAGACAATGGCACGAAGACGCCAAGCGGAATGGCGTGGTCACAACGATAGCGAAGTCGCTCAAAATCCATGCCTCCGCTGCGAAAGGATCGCCTCGAAGTGGCTGTGCGGATAGCTGGATGACGAAGGAGGGGATACTGTCCGAGTACGCACCCGCCCACGTCGCGCATGCCGCAAGGCTGAGAATGACGAGTTCTACCTGAGCCTGACGGCATGCTATCAGCTTGTGATTAGCTCACCAGTAGTCATCATAAAAGTCCTCGTCGTGCGTGCAAAAGACCTGCGAATGGGTTCACGGGATGTAGCAGGGATAGGCCATGGACGGAACACTGAGGAGGGAAGGTCCCAGACCCTAGCTACACCCCACGATCTGGTTGAGCAACGTCTGTGGGAAGGCTTGGAAGGTAGCCTGCGGCAGTGCAGGGAGTACAAACGGAACTCAACCATGTGCTTGTGAGGTCATTCCTTTGTAAAGAATCAGGGTACTGCCTGGAAAAGGATGGCCCACCACACAAGCCCCTCCTGCTAGACATTGTCTCCCAAAAAGGCTGGATAAGAATCGAGAATCCGCTGGTAGAAGTTGCGCTAATGGTAAGCAGAGAAGGGCGACCTCAAGCGAAAGATGGTAGAAGCTGTTCTCCTAGGTTTTGACGGGCCAGCGACGGGTTTGGAGCAACCGGCTGAAATCGTCCATGATGGACGGTACTCTGCGGAAGTGGTATTAAGGGAGGCAAGGCAGCGTAGTTGTAGGTCGAGGAAGTCGAGTGAGTCATGGAGGGAGGAAGAAAGCATCCAAGCGCTTGCAGAAAACACAGTCTTGGGACCTCGCTCTTTGTAAGAGTTCCTTCTACTTGAAGACCGGCTTGCTCACTCGACCCACAGAGCACCTTTCTGAGAAGTTCTTCCACTTTACAAAAGAGAAAGCAGAGTTATTTTTACTCTTTTTGCATAGTAATATCGAAAATGAAATATCGTATCGGTAAATTCAGCGCAATAGGTATGAGACAGTTTCATATATAGCCCTTAGACTTGCAAAACGCATCGTAGTCGGTTATGAACTTTTCTACATCGCTGCTCGTGATCACCTGAAAACCAGAAATCAATAACGTGCTCTACGGCAAAGCCATTCTTTTGCTTACCCTTTTATTTTCCGCCACTGCCATGAGAATACGGTGCATGAAAAGATATTGGACGTCCGTCTGTACCGAACCATGCCTATCGTTGCGAATACTGCGCACAACGCTTTCCAGGGTCACCTGTAAGAGCCATCTTTCGTACTGTCGAATGTTGCAGTGAAACTCACAACTTGGCCTTTTGAGAGTTTCGCGTATAACACATCCAATCCCACAATAGTGCCAGTACGTCCGATTCCGGCCGAACAATGCACCACGATCGGAGTAAGCCTTCTCACACGCACCAAAAGACGAAACGAAGACAGATTTACTGCAGGAACACCTCTATCTGGCCAATCTCTCCATTGATAGTGTTCCACTGTGTGTTTTTCCTGAATTATCTTTGTTTTTGAAAAGTGGTAAAGGCAAACTCCACGATTGTCCGAGATCTCAGGATTTCGTTTTGTTTAGGCCGTGGACGAGTTTACCTAGACGAAACACGGAAAGCTGAAACTAGAGAGTTGAGAGGCG